TTAATTTAATTTAATTTAATTTAATTTAATTTAATTTAATTTAATTTAATTTAATTTAATTTAATTTAATTTAATTTAATTTAATTTAATTTAATTTAATTTAATTTAATTTAATTTAATTTAATTTAATTTAATTTAATTTAATTTAATTTAATTTAATTTAATTTAATTTAATTTAATTTAATTTAATTTAATTTAATTTAATTTAATTTAATTTAATTTAATTTAATTTTTTCTGTTCTTTTTACCATTACAGTGATGAGAGTTAGGGCAGAAATGTGCTTAATTGTCAGGAATATATGCAACAAAAAAAAAATAAGTAAGTAAAAAAATACATAAATAAATAAACATTAAATAAAAAAATAACCCACAAAATATAATTTCTCTCGAGTTGTAATATACAATATGTTCTTAACTTCTCACTCATTTAGAGGAATGCAGAAAAAAGGGGCATAAAATATCAAAGCGATTTTTTATGAACTGAGATCTCAGCATGATACTGGAAAACTCAGAACCCCTTTTTAATGTGTCCATTCAGTGAAGTCTCAAGGTTTTTCTGTAAGCTTCCACATAAGGAGTGTTAATGCTGAAGCTGCCAGTCTTCAGTCACAGAGTGTGTGTGATTTTGTTTTTTGGTTTCTCAATCTGCTAGTGTAATGAAAAATCTCTTTGCAAAGAAACCTTGCAGTGGTGGTCCTTCAGTGTTTTCTCAAAAAATATCAAATTGTCAAAAATGTAGTAATTTCTCTTCCTAACTTAACTCAATTCTTCAAAAGGCCAATCTGCAATGCTAGCAATGGACTGTTACTGGCGATATGGCACAAAATCGCTTTCAAAAAAGTAATAGCACTCCTGAACACGCCACCGGGGACAGTTTCCATATTTTTAAGACGGACCAGATTACTGAAATTCAATGATGGCATATTAAAAATTGTGGTTACTTGGCAGATGCTTTTATCTAAAGTGACTTTTAGTACACTGTGCAGGAGCAAACAACCTGGAGCATTCTGGGACATTTTATGTTGCTACACAGTGGTTAATGTTAAAGTTTGGGGCTCAAAAATGTCTATATAGCATCAGATTTATAACATAAATTAAACACAAGTATAAAGCATTACTGCTTTGTGTTTTATATATATATATATATATATATATATATATATGTGTGTGTGTGTGT